ATCATACACATTGTATATCTATTTCATTTCACTTATTGCTAACTGATATTAATTACTCTATGTATTAGTCTCAAACTACATGTTATATTTTGGGAACATGTTTTTAAGAGGAAATGAAGAATACTTTAATTTTGACCCTGTTAAGACCACATATAAAGCTTAATGTTCCTGGAAAGTGTAGTAAGGGAATTATTAACATTCTCAAACTTGAAATTTGAAACATTTCCTTATTTATCACACTAATATCTACATTTTCAATCTTTTATTGTGTTCAATCAACCTATACTGGGTTATTTATATTAACCTATGCACCGTTTTCATAATTCAAATGCTTCATTGGATTGAAAAAATGCACACACCTGCGAATTTTCATACTGAAGCTGACATTTAAAACAGGCTTCTAGCATATTCATTTTTTAAATAAAATTTATTATATTTGCTGCCTTTATGTACACAGATTTGACAATCTTTTCATGATCCATCTACAGCTGTACGCCCAAATGCCATTGTTTTTTACTAATTATTATACATACCACCGGTAACATTAATTAGACAACTGGCTAATTCTCTGATATTTAATTATGTGGTTGTTTGAAGTGATTTGTGTTAATTACACATAACTTTAATTATCCAATTAACTGTGGAAGCAGGTTGATGCAGTGGGAATAGTTTAGTTCCCAACCCCAAAGTTTAGGTTTCAAGGCACTTTATTTATATTATTGTCCCAGTCTGCTCAGCTATATCAGTGGGTATTAGCAAATTGCTATGTATGAATAACCTGTGATGGACTAAGGTCCCATCCAGACAAAGCATTACACTCTCATCTGCTTTACACTAAAGAAACTGGGGTTAAGCTCCAACCTCAATAAGCCTTTGTGGCTCGGTAAGAATTTCCTTTTTTTTTACGAATTTACCTGAATTTTTCGTTTTTAATAGTTTTAGCATGGTCTTGCTATTTGTTTGGTTGCAGGCAAATTATAAATGGATTTTGTTTCTGGGGAGAGGGATCGTTCATAGATAAATCATCAAGTTGGTGCTTAGACATTATTATGTTTTATATTATGGTATTTGCGGTGTTGGATTATGGTGCTGAAACTACCAATACTAACATATGAAATACTGATATGATTTTTGAAATATTTATAAAATTATAGTTAGAAAAGTGTATGATGTTTATCTACTTATGCTTAACAATTGCTCTCGTGACTGTAGTATGTGTGTCCTGCTTTTCTATATAGTACAGTACTTCTTTTTGTAACTTACTTGAGCTTGTGGTTTCATTTTTGGATTTTGTTATAATTTTTGTTGTGTTTCATTTTCATTTATTTTCGTTTATGCTATTTTTTGTTTCAAATCTGTTCATGTATGTTGAAAATAAAATTTATACAGTAGATTTAAGATAGTTTTTCCGACATGTAACGTCCCCTGGATTGGAATCAATGCCTCCCTTCTCTTCAAATATATTTCCACTTTTTCTGAAGTTAATTATATTTGTCTAATCTTCTCTAAACCTTTTAATTTTAAGCTGCCTATGAAGAGAGAGAGGTCAAATTTTGGTATTTTTAATTAATGTTTACTTCTACTCAAACGATTTTGTAATACACTGCATCTTTATTAATAAAAGTTATATAATATAATTTTTTGGATGCCATGTACTTAAATTAATTAAAACTCAAAATTAGAGGGATATGTTTTCTGAAATACCAGATATTTTAAGCATTATTACAGTGGTTCACATGGTTGAATCATTATTGAATGGGAATCTAAGATAGAGTAACAATAATGAGTTTCCTGAGTAATTAAACAATCAGGAAACAGTTTAACATCCGTTTGGTGATCTTTAACAAGTTTTGATGATTGCAAAATCCATGATATTCTATATGTGATTCTTATTAAATTAAAAATAGTCAATATGTAATATAATTATTGTTTAGTTATATTTTTTATTATATTCTCATATTTTTGAAGTTGGTTTCATTTGTCATTCCAACAAATTGGTGACTGAACCTCTCAATTTTTTTCATACAAATTAAGATGTTTTATTATATGTATACTGGACATTATATTTGAGTCAAATCACTTGTAATAAAACATGCAAAGTACTCTTTCCAAACCAGATCAGCAAAACAAGGATTGTATTAAACAGAAGGGGAAAAGCAACATAAAATTTATACGCATTAGTATTATGTGAATGATAATACTAGTGTCAAAGTAATTCTAGTAATAATTACCATAGACATATCACCAGTACACTTAACTCCAGCACCTTCTTATTATGTAACCTTAAAAAGACAAAATGATTAATTGATTATAAATAAATATAAACATAAATCAGTTTTTTCGGTGTGAATGACACCAAGGATAACCCAGGAAGTCTGGAGACTTGTTTCGGGATCCTTCTGGTGGTGAATTGGTCAGTACACCGGGAGACAATCCCCTATTCTTTTCCGAAGAGCGTTCTGCATTCTTCAACATGCATATGGGCCATATTGCACACTGGACCAATGACTTAAACGTCTTATCTGAAAGACGGTGCACTATCGTAACTTGTATTTCAGCCCTCCAGCTGAAACACAAGGAGAGCAGTGATGGGAATTGAACCGGGGACCTAGAGATCTCCACGGTTCAGTGCTCACACAGTGGCTACCACCAGATTAGCCAACTGAGCTAAGCTGCTCAATCAAACAGGCCAAGACGATCACTCAATCGATCTACTTATTTTAAAATCTCAGTGGTTGAGTTATTAATTTATCAATTAATTTGTGTTAATTCAATTAAATAGCTCATAATGTAGGGATTATATTGTGATGCAATCAAGCCATATAGTACTATTGCTTTGCCTCTGTCTTGGGTTCTGTCAGATAAATTCTATGCTTTATTTTTTTGTTTTTCTTTTTATATTTACTGATAACCTCCATTTTTTGAATTGTTAAATATGTAATATGATGATATTGGGTTATTTTTAGCTTGAGCCAACATATATCCTTTGATGCATGTTGAAATGTAACATTATAAACTCCAGTACATAGCCTTATTTATATCCAGGTGCTCTGACTGACCGTTTAACTATTTGACTTTAGACGGGTTCACATTTAGCACATGGAATTGCCAATTACTACAAGTCACATGATCATTTCAAATCATACCTTTTGTCATGTAAATGCGTATCAGAACAAAAGTGTTGGTCATTAAAATGTAAGTAAACATTTATGAGACCAGATTTTCCCTAATTACATTTTTTTTAAACTTTGTTTTTCTAGGAACGGGAGTTACGACGTCAGCAAGCTGTACTGCTAAAACACCAGGTTAGTAATTACATTATAAAATTAGCTAAACCAACAATGTAGATTAATTAACCTTGTAACTGTTAACATATCTTGGAAGATATATTTCACTATGTTCTTGCCTGTATAATCAGAATGCTTTACTGTTATTCATATTTCATGGTTTCTCAAAGATAGGTTATAGTGATGCTATTTTTGTTGTATATTATATTTGGTTGTGTTGTTTAAATCTATTGTCTATAGGCTAATAAGATTGAACCATGGAGATACATTTTTGCTTAAACAGGGATATTTGAATTGTTTTACACTGTTTAAATTAGATTTAGGCCAAATAAAAAAAATTACTATTTTCTCGTCCCCTCGCGCATCCATTTTCTCTGCCTCACCATCTCCCATCGACCATCTTGGATATGCCATCTCAAAGTAATAAAAATGTAGAAAAAGGTACATACATTCTTCTTTTTTTCAAAATATTAGGACGAGAAACTAATAATTTTTTTTCTATTTGGCTTATGTATGTTATTAGCTTTCAACTGAAAATTATGATTAAAAAATAAAATATTCTTGTAGTTAAAAAATGTGTAAATCAATGAAGACTAAATTTTAAAAGCTGTGAATCATTGGCAGTTGACAACTTGATCCTTTAAATAAGCAAATCAACATATTATTTGAATATTTGAGGCTTATCATGATATTATCATAGTATATCTAAATTTAAAAGTAGAGGTGGCTTCTATATCTGGTAGTTCAGACTTCTACATTAATTATATCATAGACCATATCTAGAATAGAATATACCATTTTTGAGGATTGGGTCTGATCTTTACTTGCGTCATTAAACCTGTCCGCTTTTTGTACAAACACCCTTGTTAAAATTGTCCAAAAATTTTACAAAAATTACATGTTTTTGACTGCTGGCATTGCCATCAATGTCAATATGCAAATGATATGATAAGAATATGTGACCTGTTGAAGTGAAATTAATTAGCAGGAATAGGAATCGGATCATGTTTCACTTGCCGTTGAGGAAATTAAATCAGCCTCTATTTAAAAACAAAAATCCTTTCACAGAAACTCACACACCTGAACCAACTGACTCAACAGACACAGGTAAACCAACGGTTGTGTCCGTGGTGGGAACCACCGGTTGTGTTCGTGCTGGTAACCACCGGTTGTGTCCGTGTTGGCAACCACTAGTTTTTTTTTGTCCTTGTTGGTACCCTATCTTTATTTAATGCAGCAATTTTGTAATATAATGCAATTGAACGTTAAAGTTTATGTTTAAATTTGATTGAAGAGATTATGAAAACTGCAAAATATATGCATGAAAGCTTGTGTAAATGAATTGTTTTTTACATTTTATACCTGCTGTATTATTTTGTTAAATAATAAATTTAAAAATAAATTATATTGTGAATTTTGTTATTCCTTGCCTCAAATCTAACTTATGTTTTTGTTAGGGAATATTTTTTTTCTTATGCTAATAAAATAATAACCTAATATTAAAATGAATAGCCAAATATTTATGCCTAAATAAATTGGACTGAATTAGATTGTTATTCATGATGAGTGTGTGCACTATTAAACATCAATTATAAGTAATTATTTTAGTCATAAAAATGCAATTGATTTATAGAATACAATTAAAACTTTTTAATTTCCAAATTAAATATTTTTGTTCAGTTGTTTTTCTCGGTGTTTTTCCCTTTCTCTTGGACTTTTTTTTGTATATTTGTATTTCATTGTTTGTAAATTAGTACATCTTTTGTACTCTACACATGACTCTGCCTATAAACGTTGGCTTAAAATTGGTCTTCACTAGCAAAATTTACTTGTTGCTCCCTATCAATTTCTTGAATCAAAAATAATTCTTTTGTTAAAATTAATACCAAGTCTTATTATGTGGTTTCACTGTATTTGTGAGTGTATGTCTTTATTTACTGTATGTCTGTTGGAGTGCCTTACCTCATTTCTTGTCTGTTTTCACCCAAGCAATTTGTAATGTGTGTGTGGTGGGGGCAGGAGCAGGGGTTGTGGAAATGGCTAATTTTTCTCACTGTGCGTTGTTGCTTTTCGTGAATTCTTGTTCCCAAATTCTATATTTATGAGCATAACTTTTATCCAGTTTGTCTTAATATTTTCCTCACGTCTACTGCTCTGTTCTGTTCTGTCCTGTCTTTCTGTCTTGCTAGGTATTAGTCAATCAAACCCTGTCAATTTATTGCAATTGAACTAATATTAAATAATTGGGATGCACATTGATTCTTGCATAATTTAAATATCATCATCATTCAGAAATTATATTGGAGGACCATGTGACAGTAATTTGGTTTATGTTTTTTGTTGCTTCTTTCAGGCAATCGTAGAATCTTTTAAATCTTATAACCACATCTGTTTATTGTGTTTTATCCAGTTTTTAAATTGCCTTTTGTTTTATGATTTTTATATATGTTATGAAGTTATTAGATTAATGTGAAGTATATTTCATGTATTTCAGGAGCGTGAAAGACGGAAGCAGCATATGCTCTTAGTGAGGGCGCTAGAGGCAAGGAAAAAAGCTGAGGTAAGCATCAGCATCACACAATATGATCCATTCATCCAGACCGAATGCCAATGAATTTTATGAGAGCACTAGCTCAGTAGGCTCACCCGGGGGTAGCCACTGCCGTGACTGAACCATGGAGATCATTTAGTTTCCAGTTCAATCCATATCGTTGCTCTCTTTGTATTTCAGCTAGAGGGCTGAAATGCCAGTTCAAAAGCGTACCGTCTTTCGGATGAGATGTTTAAGCCATTGGTCCTGTGTGCAAAAAGGTCCCATGTGCATGCAGTACAACTCTTCGGAAAAGAGTAGGTTATTGTCTCCTGGTGTACTGCCCAATCACCACCAGAAGGACCTCACTGGAAATAAAGCCTGGTTCTCACGAGAGCCCTAGTATCCGGATCGGGAGCTAACCTGGGTGAGAACGCCAGATCGGTTAGCGCTAACTGTTAGCAGTATCCGGATACCGCTATCGGTTAGCAAGTTGAGCGCACTTCTATCATCAACCAATCACACGTATGCGTTTACAATTTCCAGTTTCTTATTGGACAGTGATTCGATCATCATATTTTTGGTATCCGGATCGGGATTTTCTCGTATGGACGCACGGCAGGTAATGGTTAGCAGGATCCGGATCCTGCTAACCATTAGCAGCCGTGTGAGAACATAGCCATACTGTAGTCTTCTTCAGACTGTTGTGGGTTATCCTTGGTGCTCACACCAAATAAATCCATCCATCCACCGAACAAGAAAGAATCTTGTGCAAAAACGTTGCCTGCATGAAAGAGTCTACACCAGCTGGTTGAAATCATGCTTCCTTGCCAACCGTTGCTGATGCTAGTACTAATATATAAAAGTGTATGTATCTTATCCAATTAATGTAACATTTTTTAAAAATATTTTTTATAGCAAAAAGAACGAGTTAAAGAAGAAAAGAAAAATGAAAAGAAAATGTCAAGAGAAAGGAAAGTGCAATTGAAGAGGATGGAATTACACATGATGAAGGAATTAAAGAAACCTGTTGATGATTTGAAAGTAATTGATCCAAAGGTAATTTCTTTTTAAAGTAAATCAATTATGAAAAATAATGTATTATATTTGTTAACAGCTTTCCCTGACTTGAGCTACCATTTGAGGCTTGCTATTCCAAGACCAGCATACTCTTGCTAAACAAAGTAATTAGCATAATGTGGCAGTATTGCATATTTTAGTACAGAGAAGTCAAAATACTTTAACTCATAACATGGCAAATAGTAAGCTAATTCCAGTCAATGACATATCATCTTAAAACTTATAATGTGGAGAATATGAATATACTAAAAACAAAATGTTCATGTTTTGGTCACTGACGCAGTTTTGGCATGGCAAGCCCTATTTTGTTAGATTGCACAATTCGAATATATCATGTTTTACATATTTTACTTGGTACATTTAAACTTGATTTTAAATATTGCATTATGTTTTTGTGAACAGCTTCCCTTACCTGAGCTACCACGTATACCTGGCGTAAAGTTACCTGGACAGGCTTTTGCTGATTGTATCATGATTGTGGAATTTATGCACAACTTTGGTGAATCGCTTGGATTAGGTTAGCAACACTATTATAATGTTAACTTCCTCCTCCACTCTTTTTTGCAAATGAACTAAGCCATGTGATGATTCATTGGTTTGGCAAATGTTAAGCAAGTGTCAGATTGTGAGGAATAATAATAACGAGTTTGGTGGTAAAATTCCATAGTTGCTGCATAGAATGTGCACTGTTAATAATAATAGATTGCCACCAGTGTTATCCTTACAGATATCCCTCTTGTTTTTTTGTTATACCTTTCTGTATAGTATCTTTTGACTAATAAAATTTTAAAGTACTTGGTGCTCTAAATGTCCATTATAATTTTAGTTAACCCACATCCATCCCTCTGTGAAAATATAAACATCCTGAATCTCTACAACCTGTTATTGGGTGTTATTAGAATACCCTATCAATGAATAACTATTTTTTTATTAATCTTTTTAAACAGACTTAGATGATGATGTACCATCCTTGAATGCCCTACAGGAAGGGTTATTGAATAATGATGATTACAACACAGACTTGTTGCGCTTCACTGTACGCCTTCTACGACTGGCGTATGAAGATCCTGGACTTCCGGATGATCCAATCAGGGTAGGTTGTTCCATGTAATTTGGAATCTAACTTACATTATGATCAAGAATGAAATTGTAGCTTGGTGCTTAAGTTACCTTGCACTATTTTTTTTTTTTTTTTTTTTTTGGTGGGGGAGGGATTTATGTGTCTTGTAATGACAATTTGCTGTCATTTCAATAACAATCAATTCCACACAGTAAGCATCATGTGTTTCATTAGTATATTTCAAGCAGTAATTGGCAAGTTAACACGTTAATGTAGATGTCCTATTTTAAGACAATTATAATTTTAATCAGTTAATTATGTTTATCATACATATGTTCTGCACACGTTTTTATAAGAAAATTTTCTGACCTTATTTTAGAAGTGTCGTCATTCTCTCATTTGATTTTTTCCTTTAATTTAAACTTTAGCCCAAAACAGCTTGGGGTGAAAATATACTCAAGGTGGACATCAACAAGAAAACAATGTCAGAGATGCTGAGGCTACTCCTCATCAACGTCCATGGGAAGGAGGATGAGGTATGCACATTATTTCAAAGTTATCAGAATGTTATATCTTGGCTAGATAGATCTAATCAGTATTTGAGTCTGACTTTTTAAAATAATGAAAAAAATAATTTACAATTTCTTTAGCAACAGCTCATAGGTATGTGCAGGTTTCTTTTTTCTGTTGTTTATTGCTCAGCTTAATATTTTTGTTTCCTTTTTAGTTATCAAATGCACTCAAATACCTACCATTCAAAGCCCTTATTGCTAGCCAGAAGGCAGCCATCTTGGGTTTCCTTGTCAACCAGTTGGTGTGCAGTAAGTCAGTGGTTCAGCAGATAGATGAAAGCATTGAGGATATGTCAGGTCTAAGGAAAGACAAATGGGTAGTGGAAGGAAAACTTCGCAAGTAAGTTAGTCTTTTATGTGTCTTTTGCTTCAAGTGTTGGTACAAAATATTTTTGGATAGTGTTACTAAGCAATTACTATGTTGTTTAAATTTCATAATCAAATCTGGAAAGTACTCAGAAATTTATGTTAAACATATAATTGCTAATGTAAAAAAATCAAGGGCATTGTCAACTTCGAGTAAGAACAAACTTTTACCATAAAAATCCTTTAATTTCATTTCAGATCTTAATTTACTGTCCAATGTTAGCCATAGTTACTAAATGTTGCCTTTCTTTGTTGTGGAGAAACTTTTCCCATTTTACTGATTCCTTTTCTCTTGCAGTTTTCCATTCATATTCAATCATTTCTTGTGATTTTACTATTCATGCTTATTGCAACTTTTTCCAGGCTGAGGGCACAACAAGTGAAGAAGAACAGCAAGTCTGCAATGAAACCAGTTGTTGAGAATGGCACCAGTCAGTCTGGACAGAACACACCTGATCCAACTAGCTCAAAGAGCAAGCAGGATGATGATGAGGAAGATGACGATGAGAAGGACGAAGAAGAGGATGATGTGCCACCAGAAGATGTGGAAGAAGCTGCTGTAGAAGAGGAGGATGATGGCATGACATCTGAAGAACTTCAGAAAAAGATTGACAGATTAGAGAAGGTGAGAGTTTAACAGCTATTACCAGAAACTGCTAGTTGAAGCTAACTAGACTCACTTTTATGTAACCCATCCATTACCCAACAACCATCATAATTACACAGTGGTATATTTCCTATTGGCAATTCTGGGTCCATGTTTGTAAATATATGAATTACTTGTTTACTTAACTTTTTACTTGGTAGAGTACAGACTCTCAAATCATTGTTTGTGAGCCCCTCATGCATGAGCTCTTGTTCTGGGTCATTGCTGCGAGTTTTAGTTAGTAATGATTTAAGTCAATCAATTGTACAGTATGTATTTCTAAGGGTGTTTTGTTGTTTTTTTTGTTTATTAGCAACATGGACAGTTCAAGTGTAAAGTATTCAACAAGTCACATTCCCTACGAGCCGTCTGCTACGGACAGGACCGCTACAGACGGCGTTACTTTGTCTTACCACATGCAGGAGGTGTGTTTGTAGAAGGAATGGAAAGTTCAGAACTACCCGACGAAACTGTAAATACAGTTGTGCAGGTGAAAGAAGAACAAAATGATATGGACATAAAGAAAGAGGAAGAAACAGAAGTGAAGATGGAAGGAATTGATGAGGAATCTAGCAAGAATGTTGAAAATGAGAAAGAACAGGTGAAACAGGAAATGGATATTGAGATGAAAGAGGATGTGAATGATGAAGTGAAGGAAGAAACAAAGGAAGATAATAATATTGTGCATAAGGAAACAGATATGTTGATAAATGATGATAAAAACATGAAAATAGATAATGAAGAATTGAATGATGTTACTAGTAAGGTTGCAGAAGACGCAAAAATGGAACAGGAAGTTGTAACAAAACCAAAGGACGAACCTAACATTGTAGAGAATGGATTCGCAGAAAATGGTGCTGCAAAACCACCAATTGACGCAGACACGCTATTACCCAAAGCTGCCGAACAATCTAAACTTTGCGACTTACTTAATGTACCAAAGATGATTGAGGAAACATTACGTAAAGAATTGTGCGAAAATGTTGAGTGTAAAGACAAAGATGGTAAAACAATAATACCCACAAAATCACAGGAAAAGGAATCTGTAGAGGGCAGCAAAGACTCACCAAATAAGTCTTCTAAATTAGAAATGAATGGAGGTTTATTGTCTTATGGTGCTCTAAGTCAACAGGACAATCCTTTACTTATACCTTACCCAGTAGTATCTGGTAGTCCAGGCTTTCCCACTGGGCTTGATGGCAATGTGAATGGTTCCACTAACCCATGGTTTAGTTTACTACCGCGTATCCCATGTGACGAAGCCTCACTGGCCAACCTCCATGTTTCCGACTCGTCTACCTCAAACACCTTGAAACAATCCTCTTTACCGATGTTTAATTTACCCCCATACAGTATTTATCAACTTCCGTTTCCCATCATGCCTATGCAGCCAATGAACTCATTCCTAAATCCGTACAGTTTCCCCGGCCTCACGGCTATGCAGATGCATCCATTCATGGGCCTACAGGGCATGAGTCCAACCATGATGGATACCCAAGCCCAAGCGTTGTGCAGTGGATTTAATAGCCAGAGGTCAACCCCTTGTGATGATAATGCTAGCGATGATTTTGCTGCAGAGGATGCAGCCATTGCCAACATGCAGAAGCTTTTGGATGAGAGAGAAGCAGCTCCTTTGGTAGCTGTTCCCGATGGTATGTGTTAATTGAACCTATTTTATTCAATTCAATTCAATATACATTTATTCAATCAATGGATCATGAACATAACATAAATCATTAAATTTCAGTAATAGAATTCCACTGATAAAGATCAAGTTATAGAAGCAGTTTGGCTTGTCTCAATTGACCCTTACAAAAAACGTACAAAATGAAATAACAAAAAGCATCTCTAACTTTCATATGAAGTTAGAGATCACCATATGGATATATGATTGAAATTTCTGTTATGATTACCATAATGCTTTAAGAACATTATGGCTCAGTCATAGTAATAATACCCTGCAGCACTCACATTTACTGTAACATTTATACTGCTGGGTGGAGGATAACAAAAAGTGGCTTGCCCAAGAACACAAGCAATGTGATCAGCATCAGAGTCTACTCATGAGTCTTACTCATGACTCTGGTTGGAAGCCAAGTACCTTTCTGCTGTCCTAAAATCTTTCACAACTTCGAGATTGTTAATATCATCCTGTTGCTTTTTGTGTATGTTAATGAGGGCTTATTTGACAGGAAAGGCAATACAGTAGTGAATAATCTCAATTTATGACCTAAAATCAAAGCACTAACCTTCTCCGTCAATTCTTTAGAGCTACGAAATGGTTGGTTCCACATTGCGGAGCCAACTATGATCCAGTCGGTGATCAAGAATCTTAACCAGCGTGGCATACGTGAACGCATCATGCAGAAGAACTTCCAAAAGTTATCGGATTACGCCTACAAAGCAACCACAAAGACTGATAAACATAGTATGTCACTTCTTTTTTTCCTAATAATAATAATAATAAAGTATATATAGTTTTATGTAGCATAGGTATCTAATTTGGAAATTGGTTAAAATGAAGAAAAATAGTAACCAGAATCAGATGAAAAAAAAAAATTAAACCCAGGAAATATCTTGAATTAAAAAAGGCAAGGGAGACCAATATTGCTGCTTTATTTACCAGATTTTTGAAACCCCAGAATTGCTGCAAATGTACCAATAATTTAGGATGATAGTACATTTTAGCCTCTCAAGTTTATTTTGCTTACAATTTACTTTCACTAATCTATAGTTGAGAGTCTTGAATGCAAGGAGGATAATCCAGCTGAGATGGTTGGTGGGGCACCGGTTCCAGAGTCCAAAGATAAATGGTCAAGAAAAATCTTGTTTGCCGTGCAACGTGGTCTCATCCAGTCTGTCGAAACTCTAGAAGAGAAGATTTACTCAGCGAGTATGCAAGTTAAGGTTTGTAGACTGAACATATTATGAAAAAGCAGAACAGAGCTGACAACATCTTCTGACATGCTTCCTTCATCCCCTTGTCAATCTGTTATCATCTAGCTAGCCCCCTCTTTATCCTCAGATATTCAAAGGAGCCAGCATTATAGGTTAGCTTTGAAAGCAAGTGACTTATAACCAGCATGGGTCTTAGGCTTAAATCTTGTTGGATACAATGCAGTACAGTGTTTCTGACAACTTTATACCACCAAAATATAGATTCAGTGGCTTGTTTCTTTGCAGTTGAATTTAGCATTTCTCTTTGTTGTAGGGGTGGACACTCCCAGAGAAGATATCGAACCAGAAGTGTATTTCATCCCGGGAGCAAGCTGAGCTGAGTAATTCTAACCTCTTGGAGATAGCTAAGAATAGACTCTTGGAGCTTGAGAAATCTGTTGAGAGACGATACATCAAGCCACCACTTAGTAGAAAGTAAGTTGTCACATTTCTACAAGGTTTTAAGTTATTTCTTTAAAAAAGAATATGATTTACCGATGCTTTTAATGATTATCACCGTATATAGTCTTATTTAATATTTTTTTGTCCCTTTTATTTTAACTATAATACATTAAGCTTTTTAAATTAATATTAGATTTATAGTAGGAATGAACATAGAAATCAAAGATTAATTCATTAGTAACACAAATGATTCTGTGTTTGGTTATGGTTGCAGTCAACCTGTGAGTCTACTATGTGTGAAAAGTACGACATCTGTGTCACAAAGAACGTGAGTTGGTTTTCTCATAAGGTTAAACTGGTTCAATTAATGCAATTTCTTAACCTAGCAATGTGAAATTTTATTTTTATTTTTGCAATAGAAAATACGAAAAGAACAAGGAAAAAATGCTTGCATCTCTCGGAATTTGATCTGGAAAATTAAAACATTTTGATATGGAGTCTATTTTGTCAATATGTCTCCCCCACATTATGTTTGAATGGGAAATACACAAATAAACAGTGATGTTGTTGAATTTATAGGTTTAGGCAGATAAACCACCCAATTTTCATTGTCCTTTGAACACCTCACAAAAGCAGTCTGTACAAGGCTCCAAATAGTGAGGACAACCATATGGGCATTGGTGCAGTCATGCAGAGCCCTGGGATAGAAAGTTCCATGTTTTTTTTGGTGGGTTTGGGGGGTTTGTCAATTGGTGGGTTTATCTAGTTGAAGTACCTCAATTGTAGACTAACAGCATCATTGCTGATTTTGTATTTACCATTCAGAAGTAATCTCAATGTGGGAGTAAATGGTTCCCTTGGTTTGTTGATCCAATCAAGAGGAGAATGACATGGTTAGACAACATAGTATTGTTGGTATTTGCTTTGTACCAGTGTGTTTGGTCCCAAATACCACCCCCACCTTTTCGTTTTGACAACCAATATGGCCATTATGACAACTAAAATAGATTTTAGAATTGCTGGCATGTCCCCTGCCCCTTGCATTTTAATAATTTCAATTTGATAAGGCTCTGATTCAAATACTGATTGGACAAATATTTTACTTAGCAACCAGATATATAACTAGAACAAAACTATCATCATTTATTGTTTTATTATTACATGTCCAAGAATTAATCATCAAAAATAGTTTTTGAACAGAGAGTTTTGCTGTTTAATTGAACAAATGAGTAAATATCCTTATTTTAAGTTTTTTCCTTCTGGACATGGTACTTGTTTGGTGGCAGTATTGTTCCTGTGGTGTTGTCTTTTGCACTTTTGGGTTTATGGTTGGTTGCACATCAAGAGGAGCACATGTATTATTATATAAATATTATATAATCAGCAGTTTTGACCTGGCTTGCACTTCTTTTTATGTTACATTACAATTCACTTTTACTATGCCAGAATCTAGTAGACTACTGCTCATTTCTTTTCATTTATTTCAACCTTTAAAAATTAACAGTAAATTACATAATACACAAGTAAACAAGTATCAGGGCAGTGGCAGTGCCTGTTGAACAACACAGGCCTTCCACCAAACCTTCATTTAGTTGTTTCTAAACTTTTATTTACTGAGGAAGATGATTTGTGATATAGGGAACATTATTTTAATTCTTATTTCCTGCTCACTTTTTATTTGTATCAAGATTCTTAAAAAACATAAGTATATTTTAAATTTTTTTTATTTCTGCTCTCTCTTTTATTTTTATACATATTCTTTAAGAAATATATATATATTGTTATTTTTAACCATTAAATATTTTTTTTATTTTCTCAGATATGATGACGAAGATGATGTCTGTCCGGCTCTTCAGAAGTGGCGCACGGCCGTTGGTAATTGTACTGCCCCCTCGCAAGTTCATGTCTGTATCCGAACCTTAGAAAAATGCATTGCCTGGGAAAAATCCATAATGAAAGTGGTAAGTGTATTAGAGTAATTTCGTTTAATGGAAACGCCGACTTTCAGACTATTAGTTGAAATTTGTTTTGTTGCTTTGCTTTTATTTTATACTTTTATTTTCTTTGCCTTTGATTTCGCTGTTGGTTTTTGTTTAGTTTTGTCAGCTGTGTAGAAATGGCGATAACGAAGCGTTACTACTGATATGCGATGGATGTGACAAAGGCTTCCACACGTATTGTGTTGTTCCAGAGATGGAAACTATCCCAGAGGGAAACTGGTACTGCATGGAATGTATTTCCAAGGTAGAGTTTGTCTGCCTCTCATAATTTTAAAACAATTAGGGAATTATATATCAAAAATATAATTATTTCTGCACTGCTAATTCTTTTCACAAGCACCATCAGTGTAAGCAAATATCTGACTGCTTTTTTGTCAAGATTTTCTTTTATAAACACATTTCCTGATAGCTTGAGTATTAATTTTGATAAACCTTCTGTTTTTATTTTTTCAAATATATAGGTGTATTTTGTTTACATACTTTTGATAATTTCCACACAGTTTGGTTACTTATCAAAACATAATTAGTTTTATAAATAATTTGATATTTATTACAAAAGAAAAATTAAATAACTATAATTAGTGTGATTTTACATCAATATCCAAACAACTGCAAGTGATACTTTCCACTTACACAGAAAGAAAAAAAAAATTCACACTTGAATGAAAGCCTTTTGTAGTATTACATACACAATATGATGAGTATATACAAACACAAACACAACCATATACCGTTCTTGATAATTGCCTTTATTACATACACAATATGATGAGCATATACAAACACAAACACAACCATATACCATTCTTGATAATTGCCTTTATTACATACACAATATGATGAGCATATACAAACACAAACACAACCATATACCATTCTTGATAATTGCCTTTATTACATACACAATATGATGACCATATACAAACACAAACACAACCATATACCATTCTTGATAATTGCCTTTATTACATACACAATATGATCAGCATATACAAACACAAACACAACCATATACCATTCTTGATAATTGCCTTTATTACATACACAATATGATCAGCATATACTAACACAAACACAACCATATACCATTCTTGATAATTGCCTTTATTACATACACAATATGTTCAACATATACAAACACAAACACAACCATATACCATTCTTGATACTTGCCTTTTTAACTTTAAATCTGGATCTCATAAATTGTGGATATTGTTGTCAGCAAATACGTTACAGATATGATGATTATGTTTGTGTAAAAATGTTGTGATGCATTGATGTAATTTTGTTTGTTCATTGGTCAGAATTTGTTTATTGGATTGGAGTCATTTTGATCCATATTGAATGATGAACCCAAAACATGTAACATAGTACACTAATAGAAGTCTATAGTATTGGTAGATCTGTAGAATAACTACTGCTCCATAAATATATATAATTATACAATACAAGAAAATTCAATATGTAGTAGATAACAAAAGCTTTTGTTTTTGATGTTGGTTAGGGATTTTTTTTTTGATTGAATATTTTTCTGTGTAATTTAGGCCACAGGTAAACCAGGCGTATGCAGTGATTGTCAAAAGACAGGCAAGTTGATTAAGTGTGACAAGTGTCCCCGTTCATACCACGCTGACTGTCTTGACCCACCCCTCACCAAGTAAGTCAATCTTAAACCCAGGTGTTAATTAGGTATTAGAGTAAAATTACCTAAAATCAATTATGTACCATGTGCAATTTCCTCCAATTCCTTGGAGGTATTGTGTAATTTTGCATGTAATCCAGCATTGACCAGTTTCATTCCAAATAATTGCCATCCTGTAGGTTAGCCATTTATACTCTTAGGTGTAAAGAGTGAAATCTAGATTGTACTTGGATGTCAAGATTATCTGGTTGATAAAATGCATTGTTGTTCTACTAAATTCATGTAAATCTCTGTCCACGCTATAAAGATTTCTGTTACAAATATTTGTAATTTGACCGTATATGAGCTGGGCATGATGACGTCATATTATGCAGAGGCGGATCCAGAGATATCCGAAAGGGGAGGGTATCGAGAGACATCCCTACCCTAGGCATACATTTTTAGGTTTTGTAGATGCCCAGAAATCACCTCTGTGGTGTTTGTTGGGTGAACAACAATTCTTTTCCTTTCTTTCTCTCCTTCTTTTCTTATTTTTCTTTCCGGTTCTCCCTAAATCCACACCTGTTATAGCAGGCATGAAATGACATCAACGTGTCATATGACTTCACCAAACCTAACAATTGATATAATATGTGATCGTGTGGTTTGTGATGTCCTTTCACACTGCTATATATGCACATTTATAGGTATTTGTCATGAAATTTAATGGTGTGGACAGAGCTTTAGTTATATAATCGTTTACAGTGATTGAACCAAGGATTGGGATTTTAAGAAAGGCACTCTAATGACCACACCTCAATTTAATATCTAAATATAATAACAATTACCAGATTGATTGAATATCTAATTCATTAACCTTTTATTATAATACCTAATTATGTTCAACTTTTAACTACTTTATTGAATTATAGGTTTCCAAGAGGTAAATGGTTATGTCCTCCATGTATCAAAGCCAAAGATAAAGCTAAGAGCCAAAAGAGGAAAAGCAAAGGCAAAAAAGAAGACTCTGGACGCAACACACCAGTGGCGGACACACCAGATAGTAAACAAAAAGCTGACACCAAACCAAAGTCTGAAGAAAAGTCAGAGAGACGGAAGAACAGCAAGAAGTTAAACCCTGTCATGGCTCCATGCAAGTAAGTAAAAGCTGTTGAACAAGAAAACACAATTTATTCACTGTCATATGGAAGTGCAAAATAATATAAATTCCTACATTAATACGGTTCAGTGGCAGTGCTAGGATTTTTCTGACGGCAGGGCAACGCCCCCGACAGGCAGGGCAAGAGTAGCTCTAGCATGTAGCTTGATCCAACTGCCCTAGGCTCGAGCCGTGGGATCCCCCCCCCCCCCAAAGTGAGAACATTTTCAAAAATAGTAAGCCTCTAGATGCTCCTACAGGGTATCTTGACATGAGAAAGGTGTTTTTGGCTGCGATCTGCCATAGAGATAATTGTACAGACAACTGATACAATTAATTGCTCATATGACAGGTTAATATTAGTTACCATTCCAATGAAACACATCGGATTTCTATTTTTTTAACATTGTTTAAATTGTCTGGCAGGCAATTTTAAGGGTTTTATTAAAACAAATTCAGTGCTAATAACTAAGTCTATGAGCTCAACAAAATCAGAATATTTTTATAGATTTGAATTCTAAATTGTTTGCATTGTTTACTAGTAGCATAATAATTGGTGTTATTGTCCACTGTAGGCAATTATTAACAGAGTTGGAGAAACACGAGAAAGCAGAACCATTCCTATATCCAGTGGATCTCAAACGATTCCCAATCTACAAGAAGGTGATCAAACAGCCAATGGATTTACACACTATTCGTACCAAGCTCAAGGATGGACAGTGAGTACAAACAAAATTGTTTAAATTAATATTGATAATAATTGATGTTTTTCAGTGCATGATACTAGTTCCCTGCTATTATATGTCATGAAAAATAAAATTAATTACAATACTATTCATAGTAATAATAATACTAACAATTTAATGACGATTATGATAGGAAGATAATGACAAGGATTATGCTGTTAAACCTAGTAATAAATATTCAAACCCTTAACCAAGGGGGTTTTGGAGATGTTGGGGTTACGGTGAATTTGGACATCATGTCTGAAAATTTGACCCCTTGTTAAGGACCCTGGACTCTGTGTCGAAGATCTTGGATCCTTTGTCGGGAAATTTCTGCGGCCACTGCTGGTCTAGCTAAGCATGTAGTTCATATACAACCAACCATCAAGGCTGCTTAAAAGAACCATTAGTTAGTGTGTTTAAGATCTCATCTTGCATTTACTTTTTTCTTTATCTCCAGGTATTCCTGTCCTGTAGAATTTGCTATAGATGTTCGAACGATCTTCGACAATTGCGAAACGTTTAATGAAGATGATTCAGATGTGGGCTTTGCTGGACACCAGTTGAGGTCCTACTTTGAGGCACGGTGGTCAGACATTGAAAGGGACTTATAGTAGCAAGGGTGACAAACTCCCCACGTTCAAATAAAAAAAAAAAAAACATGTTTGTTCCATTCAGATAATTCTTGGAGAATAACACCAAATTTTAATACAGTAGTGAATTATGTTCATCAACACCTTTTTATGTTTCTTCTAGTTTCTAAACAGTCTCTTCCAAGATAGTTACAGGAGTCTTAAAAACCAAGTTTTTGTAAGTTAGTAATACAGAAAATATGTTAGAATTTGGTTTAAGCAGAATGTAAGCTTTTGAATTATCATGGCCTGCTGAAGACCGTCCCACAATGTTGAGGGCGCTATACATATTCATAGCTGGTACCAAGTGAGCAGGCTTATTATAGTGTATGACTACAGTATTGTCCAATGTTGCTGGCATAACTTCTGTATGAGAACCTGTCTATTTATTGGGTATACCCATACCTGATTTCTCACATATCAGTATATTTTTAAGTTTTCTTCTACACCCATACACTGTTGACTACCTTAACAGATTTTATGTTTTATAGTACTGGTTTTTGCCATTTCTTTATTCTTTTTATATATGTAATCTGAAAATCACCTTTAGTGGCCAGTAACATCCCTACTACCACCCATTCATGAATAACCACAACTATTATCATTATCATCATCATCACCATCATCATTATTAATCACCATCATCATCATTAATCACCATCATCATCATTAATCACCATCATTTTCATCACCACCATCATCATCATTGTCATCTTCATCATCTTGTTCCTGAATTCTTAGAGTTCTTGGTAATGCCTTTTACAACATGATGATTTATATTGAGTTAATTTATCATTTTATTTTACTACCAAAATTAATTCACAATCTGGTAAAACAGTTTAGAATGTTAACTTTTATATGCCTTGATTAAAAAAAATTTATTGATAAAAAGTAGTGGTCACAACATTGGATGGGATTAAAAGGAAAAGGGGAATGAAGCTTACTTAAGGAAAAAAATATAGAGATGAAATGATTCTTGATGATCAAAAATGGTAGAGAAGGCATCATGATAATGGCTTGCGTCTTGCGAAACGTAAACAAAAAGGATTCTTGAAAGATGTTATCAATATTGTAAAGAATGTATAAAGATCATGGAAAGGATTAATTGTAGCTAAAGATGTGCATGTTATAGATAGGTAGAGTTTTAGATTGAAAGATAAAGACAAGAAATTTGAACAAAGGTATAAAGATAGGTATGAAGGTCAAGTCTGTCCTTATTAGTTATGGAGGGCAATTTGTGTCCTTAATTAGTATGGAGGGCAGTTTGTGCCTTTATTTAGGTCAGAATTAGAATTATAGAGTAATTACACTTTGTTATTTTTGTCTTGATCACTTTTTTTTTTTTTATTAATCTTTGTTATTTTTGTCATGATCACTTTTTTTTAATTAATCTTATCTGAGAGGATGGTTTTTAAAACCAACCAAAATCTTGATGTATTTCTCATCATTTTATGATTTAGTTTGGTGGAAAAATATGAAAAAATGTAAGAAAATATGCCATGCTGACCAATGAAAAGTTGTGTAAAGAGAAAGCGAAAACCAAAAGTTATAATTAAATTTATAACAAAAAACTTGTAATTATTATAATCATAATGATAATTACATTTAAACAAATATTTGCATTCAATGGAATTCAAAATTTGTTACTGTGTATTTTTTCTAAGAAAAGTATTTATATGATGATTTCCCCAAAATTTTTCCATCCAGTTTTATTGTTGATGTCTTATGTGTGGATAATGGATACAATTGGAAAGTTATACTTGGGTGATTTTATGCAGATTTTGCACAAAATCTAGAATTTATTCCTCTGCTTGAAAAAACTTAGGGGAAAATCTTGTTTTAACATGTGTTTGTCCGTTTCTGTACCCCTACTGCAAGAATGAATTCCTAGATAATCTGATTGGTTTTCTATTTGAAGATAGGCGTACAACGGTCATAAAAAATGCTGCAATATCTATCGAATTACAATTTTTCTTGACTAAGTTAATGTATATTTGCCAGGAATATAAGAACCAAATACAGTGATGATGAAATCAATCTATAAAGTAATATTTAAATCAAAATACTTGTTTAAGGAAATTATCGTTTTCCATGTTGATTAATATGTTAAATAATATCTATTATGTATTCTATGGTGGCCACCAACTGTCTATAGTAACCATGGATAGTATGCATATTATGTCTAGGATGTATAGTAACCATGGACACTGTACATGTCGTTACTATGGTTATATTATATATCTTAATAATAGGATTATGGCTGTATAATATGTGGCGGAGTTGTGTGAAACATGCCCTCACAGACCTTAATACAGTAGTAACAATGTGTATTGCTAGATGATTGAGGTTTGGTGGAAGTGATGATGCTTGTTTCTTTGGGTGGGGTGGGGGCTGTCTCGTTCGAGTATGGGGTCATGTTATGTTATGTGTTGTGCAAAATAATGCACTAGGATTAATACAGTATAATACACATGCCATTCCCAAACCAATCAGTTGATCCCTCAAACCAATCAATGCATTAATAATCAGCAGATATTTACAATCTGTTCTTTCAAAAATTTGCTACTCACAATCATGGTGTAACATTGTCAATGAATGATTTTTTTTAAATAGGCTCGATATAGGTGCATTATACAAAATCCTATTTTATCACGCATGACGAACAAGAAGTGCATTCAAAGACAAAAATGTACACGAACGCTATGTTATAGACCTAAATGGATTTGTTCTTCATGTGCGTGGATTTCTCGTAAACGTCTGGGATGAGATTGTTCTTAAAATTGTTTTGTATTTTTGCCTCCAATTTATTGATGTATTTGTCGTCTTACATCTCTTGAAGTTATTATTACATGTTTTGTTTTTTAAACCTTTTATTCTGTTTGTAGTTTTCCAGACATCCTTGTGTCGAGGATGTTCATTTATAGTGTCATGTGACAGTACAGTCACATGACCAAAGCAGGAGTTTGTCAGTTATAGTACTCATCAGTGTGCTTCTATTCAATTAAATTAAGAATTAAATTATAAAAAGAATTAGATTTCAAGATGTCTTAATCTTGAGCAGTATTGTGTGCTTTTCGTATTCTTTGTATCTTTAATAGTGTCTTGTAGAAAATTGTGAATAAAGTACTAAAAATGTATGTTGTGCCTAGATCTTATCTTTTGTTTTTTGTGGTAGAATGAACTGACAGTGTGTTGAATTCATTTGTGTACTCTAAAAATATAAATGATCTGATCAATTAGATCAAGTTGAAACAAACCCAAATGAAACTGCTGCTCCCTTCAAAAGAACGCAAACAAAATTAATTGAATCCCTAATACAGTAGAACTAATCAAAACAAAGTAATGATGCAGAAACATTTACGTTTTTGACATAAAATGTAATGTAATAGGCCTTAACACAGAAGAGGACATTTGCAAATATTTGGAAAGAAACTATAATGAAATTTCAGTACAGTATAATAAATCTTAGCACATCATCATGTTAATCAATCATATGGATGTAAATATGTACTTTGATTTTGGAGTCTTGAATTGCGTGCCTGCCACTAATGTAGACATTCTCATTGGAGGTTTAGCAACTTCAAAACTATTTTTTTAAATATGTTGTTATTTAACAGCTCTTCATACTCAGAAGGCAGCTTTTTTACCTATTGATTACATAAAAATTGTTTTCAATGCTGGCGCAAATAAAAATCTTGAAAAAAGCTATTATCTATTATTCCTCTGGAACTGGAGATTCTGTTTATTAGGTGCAATTACTTCAAAATGGAATTTCTGTTCTGATTCAAAATGAATACTCCAAATCATAGGATTTATTTCGCACTGAAAATAAAAAGTTAGCTACGAACATAAAAGTTTTTATGTTCCTGATAGAGGGCGCCAGGCTGGTTTAGATATTGTGTGACCATATCAAAGATACTAGAAATACAAGGTAGAGTTCTCCACACAAAAAAGGGTTCCACCGTGTTCCACCGAAATGCATGGTGGGAATACGAAAAATGGGACGCCCCTACAGCTGGATCTAAATAAACTTGTGCCAAACTTTCGTTACCAAGTCGTCGCGTATTTTATTATCAATTCTTAACAAAAATACTAGATATAAAAAACAAACTGGAATAGACACCCAGACAGACATCGGTGAATACATAACCTCCTTGGTGGCGGTAGAAATCGTTGCTATTATCCAAATAATACACAAAACAATTAAAGCATAATCATGAATCAGTGAAAAAATAAAACAACAACTGAAGCGCAGAATCGCATGACCGGACGCACTCTTAGTGAAAAAGTTTTCCTCCATTAGTGGAAAAGGAAGGGCGCCTTTTGCGTCTGGATATACTTAGCAACAGAAGGGCGCCCTGTACGTTGGGCACGAAGTATAGGAAACTTGCATGGTTAAAAAGAAGGGCGCCGCCTACGTTGGGCACGACTTCCGCCTCATTTTGACAATGCGAGAACTCTATCTTGTATTTCTAGTATCTTTGCCATTATATGTTTACTTCTCTCCTCTCTGTCTCTTCGAGAGTCTGAGTCCAACAGTACCTAAGTGTGAGTAATTCCTGATATTTATTTGTTCATTTACTTCTTTTTAAACGGTAAATTTTGTACGATATTAAAGAGTAGGCATTGTGACTCATAATCGTGTACTGTGCGTTACGGTTTAGAAATGGAATGTCATTAAATGAGCTTTTCATATTCTAGGCCAGTCGTATGTTGTGCTCTCTTGAGTCATTGAACTCTTGTCAACAGGGTAGTCTACGCAGAGGTAGCCTAGCCCTAGCCTAAAGAGCACAGTAGACGCGTTTATGCAAATTATGAAGATCTTTCTCAATTAAAAACGTGTTGACGTAGGATGTTGCAAAATTGCAAATTGTTTGAACATAGAGGAAAGAAGTCTCCATGGTTTTAGAAGCTAAATAAATGATGCCCAGTCAGTGACAGCGTAACCTACTGCTGTGCATGTTCTAAAGTCTGTTTACAAAATAAGGTCCATCATTGACTACCAGTGAGCAAATATGCATGGGAAATTTCAGTAAAATAAAATATGCTGTAAAAGAATGAGCAATTTTCAGATTGAAATCAAAATTTTCAGGAAAATACACAAACCCCTGTCTTGTAATTATTTCATTTCCACTTCTAGTGATATGCCATACTAATTTATTGCCTGTCTATTGATGTGAAATAGTAGCATCATATATTGATACATGTATGTGAATATTGTAACATTGTATACTTGTACACAAAATATAGCATCCTTGTTTGGCGCTGTGCATCAATACGCTACATGCTCTTATGTGAGACATTAAATCTATTATAACTATCACATTCGTATTGTATCTTTATTGTCATATACACATAAGTGCATAGCGGTGGACTCCTGATCCTTTATATCAGATCCTAACCGACTTGTAACACACTTGTAAATACTTCCAATGGCTACAACATAATTTATTCAGAAATGAGGTGTATTTTTTATAATTTGGTAATTTAATTTTTTACAGAACCAGGTGCTCATACCTTGTACAAAGGGGTGTGTCCTGGACTCACTTTCCCTTGATAAGATTCAGAATGACAGACATTGAGGTAGAAGCAGAATGGCAGGAGAATCTGGAACTGTCGATGAAATATCAGGTTTGGTCCTCGTGTAAAATCGATGAAACCCCAGTTTTACTCAAGACGTTTTTTACCAGCACAGCATATGAAATTGCCATCTATGACTTCAAGCAATTGTGGTTTGAGTGTTGTGATGAAGCAACTTTTTCAAAAAGAGTCAAGGTATAAAAAATAACTTTAAAATATAATGTAGGAGGATAATTTACAAATGGCAGTTTTGGAATTCAGATGTGCCCACTTAGAGTGTCGGCTGATCTGTACCCGCACTAACTTATACCACTATCAAATTGAACCCTACCTGTTAGTACACCACCTATAATCTTGAAATCAAACACCACCAGATTGCAAAGAGAGATTTTTTCCTATGGGATTGAACATTTATTTTAATAAAATCGAGAGTGACAATTCAAGGTTAGGCCTGTAAACAAATGAATGTAAACAATTATAAATTTTAAAAATTGATTGAATTCTGGGTTGTTATGAAAGTTGAACCAGGTCCTGGGAGGCACATTGATTTTCAAGCCATTATGGCAGTCACTGATAAACTCAAGCCTGAAAAGGTACTGTATGTATATTGTACTTAAAAAGAATGAAAAATATTGTATTAATATTTTTTTAGGAGCTGAACCCAAATATTGAAGCACCCAGTACTACACTACTGCAGCACATTCAGGATAATTTGACCAAAGAATCTGTTACTCTGAAAATTGTGTACTCAAAGAATGATGAGGAGAAAAATAGTATCAAAGAACAGCCGAAAATGACAATAAATTGGAGCAGCCAATTGATTGGTGGAGTACCATTTACTTGGCAATATTATCTTGTGCCTGCTGATAACCAACAAGTATGACATCATTATTATTATTAACATTACTTATTATCACCGCCATCTTATATTCATATTTATATTACAGTATATAATTATATCTAAATGTTTATTAGGTATGTAGCCACCTGATCACTCCCCTGATGACAATGGTTGGTGAGATGAGTAGAAGGGAGTCAGACCTAATGAAGCTCTTGTCAAAGAAAGATGCAGAGATTGAAGATTACAAAGCAGCTGGAGGAAAGGTATCAAGAAGTAAGGTGTATTCGAAACAAATTTTATGATAATTTTATTTAGTATACAATTATTTAACAAGGGGATCTATCCAGATATGCAAATGCACTATATTATACTTACATGGTGCTTTGCAAACGCTTTGTCATTTCAGAGTACCTGAGGACTGTCCCTTTTGATGAAAAGGCTTTTAGAAAAGAAATGATCACATCAAAGGTTAGTTTAGACAAATATTTCAAATGGTATTTTCCCACTCCCTACCCCTCTCTCCACAAACATTCCTCTCACCACAGAGAGGACATGGTGGTAAATTGGTAAGGGATAAGTTTTCAGACCACTTGCCTCAAGACTTACCAGTGGCAATATTCAATTATCCCTTTGCGTAAGTCACATTTCTTAATCAGATGAGAAGTTGTGTGCTACGCTATTGGTCCCAGAGGCAGAAAAATAGCAGGAAATTGCTTATGGTGATAAGTGTAAGATTGTCTTCCCTGTCCTTTCACAATATAAACACTTGATACAAAGGGCATAAAAATGCAAAATACAGAGTATTATACCAGATGACTATGCAAACACCTTTTGTTTTTTCAGGGCTTTGAACAGCAGGTTTTGACTGGTGGTTTGTCAGCTTTTGCGGGCTCTGCTGGTGATCTGTACAAGGAAGTGCAAATAAAACATTCCTGGCTAAGTAGAAGCCAAGGTAGGTATATTTATGTGAGTATGGTCTAATAATGGCTGAATACAACCTATTTTCTGTTTCCATTATATTTAATTTCATTTATTTATTTTGCTGAATTTAGCCCAGGCTCTACACCAGCAAAATTGCAACATAGCACCACAAGTGGTGGTTGCAGCCCAGAGTGGAAAATCTTGCAGATTTTGCCTGTTGTCTTTGTTGACTTTACAAAAATGATTGGTGTTTATTCCAAATTTTGCTATTAGCAATGCATGACCCGTTTGTATATAAACATACATGAACACACTTTTCTGTTTGTTCAAGATTCAAGAAATTTATTTATTTGTGTTTGTTCAAGTTTCAAGAAATTTATTTGTTCTGTATTTAGATCTTGATGGAGGTGCTGGAGTTGGCCCCATGGATGAGTTCATGTTGGATGGAAGGCTTTTACAATCTGACTTTACTACTGGTTCTCCCATGGGTTCCCCAACTAAATCTATAACACCCCATCAATCGCCAGTAAAGATTGCATCAGCAGAGGGTTCACCAACTAAGGTAAGGCTAGGTCCTTGTGAGTTTGTGAGAGAATCACAGGAGCATTGGTCATTGGGTAATCTTATTGGGGAAATCAAGCGTCCCTCCCTCTTTGTTGGGTTTATCGGCCCCTTTGTCTTGGCACATTCTTGCGCAACCACTGGTTTGTGGGAGATTTTTGTTGGTACTCGAAAGTATGGGCGATTGTGCTGATTTCTGGGTGGCTCCTGTAATTTATGGAGAGAGACTTTAGACCTCTGCTAATACTAAGGAATTACAGTACACATATTTAAGTTCATTTACCTGGTCATTTCCAATCACCAGGCTAATAATGAATGGGAAGTGATACTTGTAATGTTTTTTTTTATTTTAGGGTATCATCTTAATATATATTATCATATAACTATATTCATCCTATATGCTCAATTCCAATGGCATTATTATTTTCAATTTCTTTCAGGACACAGAATTATTGAGAAGACAAGCTCTTGAGAGAAAATTAAATGAGGAAAGAACAAGACAAGAAAGCAAAAGAAAAAAGAAAAAAATATTTTGACATCAAACAAAATTTATTGATGAATATGGATATCGAAAGTTAATTTTGTAAACTATTGTAGAAAACATGAGATGTTTAAAATTATTAGTAGAAAAACAATCCCTGCAATTTCTGATTGTATTAAGATTCAGCTTTGAAAGTATGAAATCAAAAATTGTATTTCCTTAAGTTAGACACTAGTCAAATTTCTGATAACTCTTTTTAATGTTCTAGAGGCATTTTTAAAGTAAAAGTTAGATACTTTATTTAACCCAAAGTATGTTGAATTAAAATTTGCTGTCTGCCAAGCCAAATTTTTGGTTATCAGTGATACAGTATTTATAATTGTAAAGGGTAAAGAGGAATCTGCAAGTGTGAAAAATACAATCGCCCCAACCAGGATTACAACCTGGAATCTGCAGTCTGTACAGATTTAACTAACTGGACCACATATATACATATAGCATTACAACAAGACAGTTTATCTATGATATTATTATATTACTGTATTTCGAAAATATCTTTTTGGATATCCCAGCTTTTCATAAAAAAAAATATTGAAGGTGAGGGAGAATCGTTGATCAATTATTAGCCAGATTTTCTGACTTTCCAATCCCTAGAGGAATTTTGAGTAAAAATTTCAGTTACTGTAGCAACAGTTGCCATAGAGAAATACATACAGTTTGCCCTCCAATTCGAGACCACCTGATGATTTGGGGTGGTTTCTGGTTTCCGTCTTCAATTAGGGGGGTTTGTTTTGTGTTGAAAGATTAAAGATTTTTAAAATGACAGGGGTGGCGCCATCGGTGGGCCAGGGCCCCCCGCTGGGGAGAAAAACAAATCGTCGGGGAGAAAATTTTCTACATATTAGTAGACTCTAAAATCGATTAAATAAGCCTTTGAAACCCCAAAATTGTCGGAAATTTTTGGGGGCTTCGTCCCCTTGACCACTTACAAAACATTTAAAGCGACGCTTGACCACGCCCACTTTGCTCTCGTTGGGGAAATCTGCCCCCAACCACAGAGCTAACCCTGGCGTCACCCCTGTAAAGTGGTACTTTAAAAACGTATTCGAGCAGTTTAGTTGAAAGTCGAACTGTATGAATATAAGCACATCTCATAGCTGTATATAATATACATTTGTGACAATAAAATGTTATCGTTTTGTGTCAAATTATAAAGTGTGTGTTTTGTATGTTAATTGTGGATATCATAGTTATGTTGCAATATAGTTAATAAATCCCCATGACAACATAACAGTACAATAAAGGCTCACGGTTTTTTGTTAAAAATGAATAATCTTTTATTTTACCCAACCATTTTCTGATCGGCATTTTTTCTCAGTCGCATGCGGATGAACTAAAATACCAACCATGCTTTGAAAATAGTCCTTAAACCTAATTTAATCTTAAATAAAGATAATTTATATAAATAATATACCCAAACTATTTCTTATTGGTTCCGGGGCACAATACTGAGAAATACGTACTTGAAAGTAAGGGGCTGAGGGGACGAATAGAAAAAGGATCCCTTGGCTGTGTGCCCATAAGCTTGGCTGGGGACCCCGGTGGGTTCCAGCTCCGGCGTTCAAGCCTTTAATATGGCGTATTTGATTTTAGGATAACAATTTACAATTAACATTATTTCCACACTACATCATCACAAAAAGTGTTTCAATTTACATCGGATTCATAATCAAAAGCAATGTTTATGCAGACTAACATTCATATAAAAATGATTTTATATATTAGTCATTCGTAATCGTTGTTCTTGTAGTGGGGTTTTACTAGACGAATGGTGAATAGTTGGGAGAAGGGGTAGATATTATTATGTCCCTCCCACTTTGAAATGTGGGGCGTTCGCTGTCCCCCACCGATCGACGCCCATGCCTCTGCTATGTCTTTTTGAATTAAATCGGTAAGAATAGAATGCCTTTTAAGAGCATACAGTAGGTTTTTTTTTTGTTAATCATTATGTTTTGAAGTCGGGGAACATCAGTGTCGGTGCTACCAGTGCTGGTGCTGTGGTCTGGCGAAATACAGGATCTTGGACTAGGAGAACACTACTTTTACCGTCTCAGAGTGAACTTCCCTGGCATCTAGAGGCTGCTGGGGCTGAGGAAGATTCCCCGTCCAGAAATTTACATCTTGGGAAATCTCTGGCGCCGTCACTGGAAAGGAGACACAAAGGGACAGTGGCGTAACGCCTATGCGCTCTCGTGCGGCGGTCCGCATGGCCACCGACCTCTAGGGGCCCGGGGCCCTTCCGATAGGGTCCTCGCTCAAGCACCCTAATGCAAAAGAGCGTTGTTGATATATAACAGCATTTTGTGTCTCTGACGTCGACTGTAGGACATAATATTCAGTGACGGATAAAGTGGAGACAAAAAAAAATACAGTGGCGTATCTAAAAGTCTTGAAACGGGGGTGCTGATGGGGGGGGGGGTCTCAATGATCAGTTGAGGGGCGCTAGTTCGCAAAATAAGGTGATTTTAGGTGATTTTGAACTACTTAACCGTGATTTTTGTGGGGCGACGGGGGAGCGCGAGTAATTTTTGGAGGGGCGACGGGGGAGCGAGAGTAATTTTTGGAGGGGTGCGGAGCGCTCCCCCCCCCCCCCCCCCCCCCCCC